AATAAGATTATTTTGGCATCTGCATAAAGAATGGATTCAAGACGGGAGACAATGGCTAAAGACAGCAGTCAGGAAGTGATTACACTAAACTACAGGAAAGACAGATATGGAGACTGAGGAGTCATCTCCATCTCCACAGAATACTGTGGATAGTGAACCCTGGGAACAGAAGAAATCATCAATGGGGAGAAATAAGAGATAAGGGCTGATGACAGTACCTTGGAAGGAATCTCCTACTTGGAGGACAAAGAAGCAGATTATAAAGTAGCAAACAAGACTGAGAAAGAAGAGTAAGACATGTAGGGAAACTAAGAGAGAACCATGTCATTTAACTCATGGGAAGAGAGTATATACAGGAAAGGGTGTGCGTGTGTGGGGGGGGCAGGGTTAACAGTGTTAATGCAAAAAAGTTAAGAAAAGAGGCCTAAGGACACTACATCAGACTTAGCAATTAAAAGGCCTTCAGTGACCCGTAAGAGCAATTTCAGCAGAACAGAGGGGTCAGAAAAGATACTGTAAAAGGCTGAGTGAATGAGTGATAGGAAAATGGAAGCAATAAGTCAAGATTACCCTTATGAATTTGGCAGTAAGGGGAGCAGAAATACAAGGTGACAACTTGAGGGGCTGAAAGGGTAAAGGAAGGCCTTTTAATAATAGAAGAGCATATTTGTAGGCAGTACAGAAGAAACCAGCAGTTAAAGCAGAGAGGGTAGGATGGAAAGAACAAGATTTTGCAAGAGACAGAAGGGGACGGAATCTCACTCCCCTCTCCAAGTCCTCTAGGTGAGTAGAGAGGTAAGCACTGTCAAAGAGAAGGGCTATCTTCTCCTCTGAAATAGGAAAAAAGGAGGAAACTGGCAAAGATGAAGAAGCTAACATAAAATATCCTCAATATAGCATGTTGTGATTGAATTTTAACAAAAGTGTAAAGTGAGGCAGATCTCTGCGCAAGGTAACATTTATGAGCAGGGACATGCGACCTGTCAATAAGTGGGTCAATGGCTTCCATTAATGCCAAAGACCCTGAGCAAAAAGGATAGTTCCCCTTTTATAGGTTTGGGGACTACAGAACAAAGAAGTGACATCATGGAATTGAGGGCAACATGACTAGTTACACAGCTGAGCTGCAGGGAACAACAGGATTGGTTAGTAGTTTGGTAATGGGGGCTAGCAACCACCTCTCTTCTGTCATGAGACTAAGAAGTTTTCTTGGTTTAAGCCCAGGTGTGAGATAGTGGTCCAGACTTTTGGACAGCAAGTCAGATATCCTTGAAGGACAGCTTGGTGGAGTAACGATAATGCCCTTTCTGTTCAAACATGTTCCCCAAGGTTAGAAAAATTCCTTGAGGCAAGAAAGATGAATTTTAAAACCTAACCCATTATAGGCCAGCTGAACTCTGAGCTAAGTTCAGAGACAAAGAACCAATTACAGAACAAAATCAATTACTTGTAAATAAGATCAGTACGTAAATGATAAAGGATCAATTTTAATCTTCTCAAGCAGAAGGGGAAGTTTAATATGAGAAAGGGGCCTGCAGTAAACCGAATGGCTCAATAAATAATATGATAGTAGGTTAGCAATGAATAAAAGGATTCTATGCATCAGGGGGAACTCTGGTAAAGTTAGATAACATGGTTTGTAGTAAACACAGTCTGAATGGTTTAGTAATAACCTTCAGCAGCATTCAATGCCTGGGAAGTAGTAGTAGTAGCAGTAGCAACTAGCACTTATGCAGCACTTTAAGGCTTGCAAAAACATTTAAATATATCAATTCACCAAGAAGCCTAACAGTTCATGAATTAGCAGCACAGAATGTTAATAGTTAATGCACTCACTCAGTACCCTCTTCTCTCCTCCAAGATTGTGCTTTGGGCACTCAGCAATTCCCTGGCTGCTGTTGTAGACTCTGTTAGCATACCCTGCCCTCACCTTCTATTCAATGGCAACAAGCAACAGAATTCTACTGGGCACACCCACCTGTGGAGAAGGGAAAGGTGAAGGATGCCATGAGCATGCTTGGGGTGGCAGGGCTCAGTTACAGACATAAAGAACAGAAAGAACTGACAAGATGCCAGCATGTGTGTGGGGCTGTACCATGCTGAAAGGAAAAATGATTGATATCTAGTGGGAACCAGTCCTGTCTCCATAGAGCAAAGACTAAGGTTAGTAAAAAGGGAATTCTTCAATGTGGGAGGAGGCTGAGACCGTTTTCATGTATAGTTCCTAAAAGACATGCCATCACATGGGAAGGAGTCAGAAACTGAGCAACGGGGGAATATAAAGAAAAGAAAACAAAAGGGGAGGGAAGGGAAGGGAAGAAACATTTAGTAAATTTTAGTATCTACCATGTGCCATACACTGTGCGAAGTGTTCTACATTTACCTCATTTGAACCACCGAAGATCTCAGGAGGAAGAAAACTTAAGAGCACAAGCAGCTAAGTCAATAGAAGATATTAAAACAGAGAGGAAGATGGCTAATAAGACATCTAAATGACAAGTGTCAGTAAATAAATATTGCAAAACAAAAGAAAATTAAACCACATTTAATGAAATAGACAATTTTCTCATTTCCCAACAGAGTACAGAACCATAGCAGGATATCCCTGAATGGTTCAAGAGAGAAATAAGAATCTTGAAAGAAGTTAAAAGGAAACAAATGGCAGAATTCACTGCTTGCACAACAGAAATGAGTAGAATAGAAAAATTTCAATTCATGATGGTGAATCTATACAAAGAAGCAACAGAGATAATGAATGACTAGGATTAGAAATATACCAAAATCAAAGACAACTTAGAAGAGAAGCCAAAAGCAGCAAAATTTTTAAAAATCATGAGTGCCCTATAAGCAAATCACATCATTCTCAAAGACAGGATATGTAGAGACAACTTAAGGATCATAGATCTCCAGTATAACATTACAAATCAAAAAACTTGAACACTATAATGCAAGAACAAGAAAAGAGTCCAGAACTTCTGAACACAGAAGACAAAACACTAACTGAAAGAATCCACAGATTGGCTCTAGGAATGGAATGGGCAAAGTTGAAGGCCAAAAGACTGATCAGAGAGAGGAATTTCCTATTTTAAGATCTTAGAGGTAGAAAAATTTTGGGTGGTGTTTTAGGGTTGGAGAAACTGATGTACTGGTAACCTTTTTTTAAACACCCTAGGGAGCATGAGGTAGTAGGAAGCAGCAGTGGGAAGTAAAATGCCTTAATACTGGGTATTGGATGCATGAGAGAAGGAACAACCATTGGAGAGGACAGCAAAGGACACGGTAGCTTCAAGAGAAAGCCAAGTCTCAGTTAAAGTCAGAACATGTAAGGGATATCACAGAATGAGACAGAAGGTATAGGATAGTGAGTTAAAAACAGAGTGGGATAGAGCTCTGGCCTTGGAGTCAAGAGGACCTGACTTCAAATCCAGCCCCAGACATTTGACACTTACTAGCTGTTTGACTCTGGGCAAATCACTTAACCCTGATTACCTCACTAAAAATAAAAACAAACAAACAACAACAAAAAACCACCCACAAAACAAAACAAAACAAAAACAAACAAACAAAACCAGAGCAGGAGATCCAGAAGTCACAGTGGAAGGAAGGGGAGGGATTAGAAATAGGTAGAAACATAAGTGTGGGGAAAGAGATTTTTGCTAGGCAAATCAGAAGAACAAGAGGGATTTGGTTGCCATAGGATAGGGTAAGTAATAAGCAAGAAAATGCTTGGAGAATAAATCAGTTTGAAGCTTCTAATGTTGATATGATGGTGACTAGAAAGATTTTTTTATTAATATCTGGGCGTAACTTACCTTTTATTATAAAACCGATTAAGTACATTTCTTTTAAAAAGTAATGAACTTATTAGAAAATGCAAGTTAAAACATCTCTGTGGTTCTACCTCATACCTATCAGACTGACAAAAATGGCTGAAAAAAAAAAAACAAAAACACACTCCAAAAACTTTTGGGAGTGACTATGGGGAGACAGGCACAGTGGTGCATTGCTGGTGGAGTTAACTGGTACAATCATTCTAGAAAGCAATTTGAAACCATTTCCCAAAACACGCTGAATTTAGTGCTGCTGCTATTACATCTTCACCCTAAAGAAATCAAAGAAAGAGTTCTTTTCTTGTTTTAACAAAGGACCTAGAAACAAAGCTGGAGTCTATCAACTGGGAAATGGTTGAACAAAGGATGGTATGCTTTTATAAACACTGATGAAAAAGATGATTTCAGAGAAACCTGGGAAGACTGTTATGACTTACTGAAGAGTGAAGAGAGCAGAACTAGAACAATTTACAGAGTAACAACAGTACTGTGAAGAAAAACAACACTGAAAGACTTAAGAACTCTGATCAATGCAATAAGCCAGGACTATCAGAGAATCAAAGATGAAACAATCCTTCCTGACAGAGAATGAGATGGACTCAAAGAGTTAGATGAGACATAACGTTTCTGGATATGGCCAAGGAGTGGATTTATTTTGCTTGACTATGGATAATTTGTTACAAAGGTTGTGTTTTTCTTTTTTCATTTGTAGAGGACAGTGGAATTAGCAATCATGTCACAAAAATAAAGAAGAAAAAGAAAAATAGTTATTAAAGAACTTAAAAAGATACACAGAAGGGAACAGAAGGAAGTTCAGAAGGAAACACAAACAGGAGAACTTTGAATTTGTTGAATTTATTATGTACTTAAAAAAATGAACTGCATGTAATAGACATTTGTGATTTCACATTTAATCCTTTTTTTCTCTTCTGTTTCCTATGTGGAGATGCTACTTCTTGGAGTGCTTAAGTTCAGGATAAATTTATAAATAAGTTTATAAATATTTTAGAATTTTAAAAAAGCTATAAGGTTTCCCCCTCTGTATCAAAATCAATGCTGCCTATCTATGAGCAACAGTTTAAAAAAGTTAAGCTACACCAGATTTCTAGTTATCATAAGGCATAGGAACAAAAATAGATTGGAATATAGAAAGAAATTCATAAAACTTACATTGTATTGATGATTAGCCACTGGTTTAAAATTGGTTGTAACAGCTTTATCCAACTGCTGGGATAATCTTACAGGTTTTGAAGATTCTTCTATTTGTAACCTGAAAAATGGAGGAACCATTGTATTAATGGTAAAATGCTGCCAGTTTATAAAATTACGTCCATAATTCAGCTGATAACAACTATACCTTAATATCGCAAGACAAACTCAAAGGTATGCCAGCTTCAAAACGAAATGTAATTTAGTACCTATGTGACGTAAGTCTAAAGTAATATTTGATTTTCATTTGTGGATAATGGAATTTCTCTCATTACTTTATGTAATTATACCTTGTAACTGTTGTCTAAGACTTAGAATGCAACAATTTTCAAAATTTTGACATTAAAATTACCTTTGGTCAACAGACTCAAATTAATACTTTTTAAAAACATATTAGGCATACTAGTATTCAATGGATACTCACTGAAGCTCTATATTTAAATTAGTGAAGTTAGGAAGATGGGAAGGTTTGGGGAGAAAGATAACAAGTTCAGTTTTGGACACGATGAGTTAAAAACATATGTGAGACATCCACTTTGAGACGTCCAACAGGTAACTGGTAATGTGAGACTGGCGATTAGGAGTCGGGTTAGGATGGACAAACGGATCTGAGAATCATCTGCACAGAGATGGTAATTGGATCTATGGGAGCTGATGAGAACACCAAGTGACACAGTAAAGAGGGCCCAGGACAGAGTCCTCAGGGACACCTGTGGCTAGAGGGCACGACTTGGATTCAGCAAAGGAGTCTGAGAAGGAGGGGTCAGCCAGATAGGAGAACCAGAAGAGAGCAGAGAGGGTCAACAAGAGTAAGCAACAGTGTCAAAGGCTGCAGAGAGATCAAGAAAGATGAATATTGATAAAAGACCTTTAGATTTGGCAATTAAGAGACTACTGATAATTTTGGAGAAAGTAGTTTCAGTTGAATGATGAGGGTGGAAGTAGGATTATAGAGAGTTCAGAAAAGAGAGTAACAGAAATACAGGTACCAATTATAGACAACTTTCTCAAAGAAAGAAAAGGGAGGACAAGTACAGGACAATAGCTATTCAGGATGAGCTGAGCAAGTGAGGATTTAACTGAGGATGGGGGAGGCATGGGCACATTTGTAGGAAGCAGTGAAGTTGCTCGTAGACAGGGAGAGACTGAAGGGTACAGATGATAGAGGTGGTAACCTGCTGGAGGAAACAGATACAATTACCAAGAATAAAACAATTTCTACTTGAAAGGAACTTGCATCCCATGGAAGTACATATAAAAATAGAAACAATATAAACATAAAGTAAATAAATACAAATATGTACAAAGTAGTAAAATACAAGGAAGATTTGGAGGAGGGAACTAGTGCTTGGGATGATTAGGAAATGCTTCATGCTTAAGAAGGCGCTTGAGTTCTCAGTGTCTTAGAGGAAAAAAGGAACTCTGAAGAGGGGGTAAGATGGGAGTATGTGCTAAGCATTTGTTATGGCCAGAGTAAAAGCGCAGTGACAGGAGATCTGAGTGCTGTGCATATGGAAAAGAGAGAAAACCAGTGTGGCTATGAGTCTGGAGGCATTACAGAACCGAATCCACGGCCAAAAAGCAAAAATTATGCATCCACAACACAAAAACATTAAGATGAGATTCAGAGTAACACAAATTATTTTAAAGTTATATGATCAAGATTGGAATCCAATCCATCAATGTTTATTTGAGCACCTACTCTCGTGTAACACACAAGATGGTATTGTGGGGGGTACAAAATGTAAGAGAGCTCCTATATTCAAGAAAAACAGGGCAGTATTAAGGAAAAGATTGGAAGTCAAAAGACCTGGGTTCAAGTCCTGCCTGCACCACTAAGTGCTTTTGTTTCTGGGTTTCACTTAGTTTCTTCATCTGAATAAGAGATGATCTCTAGGGTCCCTTTTATCTCCAAAAATCTATGAGTTCACAATCTAGTTAGAGAAATAAAACAAAAGAAAAAATGTGACTAATGGGTCAGCAGAAAAGATATTACAAGGCAGTATCCAACAGCACCAAATGAACTATGTGGACAACTGATGTTAATTAAGTTCAGAGGAGGGAGAGAAAGACTGGGGTGACCAAGAAAAGTTTCATGGAAGAAATGGGATCTGGAATGAGTCTGGTAAGACAGAGATAGGACAAGTCAGAAGGAATGACAAAAAAAAAAAAAAAAAAAAATCCAGAATCAGGAAAGCACAAAGCATGTTTAGTAGGCAGTGAATAAATTTGGTTGGTTGGAGCAAGAAAAGATTTTTATGTGGTCAAAAGAGAATGAGTCCCCCAGTTTTCCATTATAACTCAGTTCAAGGAAACCCCAATTAATGGGAACTTTCAAGCAACTAGCATCATGGGAAACTTAGAAATCCAAGTTTCAGGAGAATGTAATTAAGTACCAAATTTCTATGACATTTAATACTTATTAAAGTTTATTTTCAATCTTCTAATTTTCATTATTAGGGATGATTTTTAGAAAGCCAAGTCCACAAATATTTGAATGTTACCTTTATATTAGTAAAGTGCTAAGTGCTGCTAGGGAACACAAGAAAGTACTCTACCATCAACAAGATGACAATCTTTTGGGGCAACAAGTTATACACAGGAAACAATAATAAAACAATAGAATATACGGACTGAAGGCTAAATCCTACCAAACTGCTGTTTGGTACGCAAAATAAGGAACATGTTGGACTTGACAAATGATTGAATTTGGGAGAATATAAAGGGTATCTGGTACAATAGAAATCACCTCCAAGGTTTTAAGACTGGGAGGAGGTAGAGGAGTATAGCTACCTATAGTCATGGGAAGTTAATGAACAGGAGATAAGGAAATGTCTTTTGCTTATCAATCAGCAAAGATTTACTGAATACTGTGTGTTAGAAGTCAAAGCTGACACTACACAGCACAGCCTCTGACACATTAGGAAGTGCCTTGTTTACTGTTGACTGGCAGGTTGTAAATTTGGGTCACTAAAAGTACCCTCGACAGAATGTAGGTGTTCAGAAGATGGATGGGTTTTAGAGGAAAGATGATTTTTTTTTTTGGATATGTTAAGCTTCAGATGTTTAATAAACATTCAGTTCAAAAATTCAGTGGGTGGTTGATGATACGGGACTAGAGCTAAGGACAACAAAACACCCCCCATACCCCCACACCTCCCTGTGAGTTATCTCTAGGCAGATGACAGATAATTAAATCCCTGGGAACTATAGGGGTCATTAAGTGAGAAAGTGTAGAGAAAAAAGGGAAGGGGGCCCAGGATGTGGCCTGGGGTACACTCACAGTAAGGGAGGGTGATACAAATGATGACTTGGGAACGAAGATTAAGAAGGAATGGTCAGACAAGGTAGAAGAGTTAAGCATCCTGAAGGAAACCAATTGTATCAAATACTACAGAGAAGTCAAAAAGTTTGAGGACTGAGAGAAGTTAATTAGATTTGGCAATTAAGGTATAATTAAAAGTTGAGAGGGGGGAAAGAATTCAAAGATCAATGAAAGAATCATGTTCCATATCATATCTATTGAACTGAATCAACATGTAATCAAAAGAATCCTGAGAGGAGATGGTCCACTCAAGAACACACATGTTTGGAACTATGACTACTTGGTACCATGTTCTGAAAACACATCCCAATTCATCTTTCTCCTGAAGCCCTCTTCCCCTAATCTATCTTCCTCTGCATCACAAAAATCATCTTTCATGTTTCAAATAGCTCACTTTACCATTTCTATCTTTGGGCCATCCAATAGAGGCACATAGTTCCTCTTTCTCATAAGAAACTATTTCTTTCACATTTATTATATAGTTTGGGCATTCTTTTGGGTTTCAGTATGTTTGAATGTTTTGTTACAAACATTAGCTTATATTTATCTTTCTCTGTATTTGCATTTATTATAGGTTGTTGCATTTTGATTTGTGTTCGGATTTTTTGATTCAGGTTTCTTTTTGAAATCTTAAACACTGGAGCCAAGATGGCGGAGGGAAAGCAGTGACTTGCTTGAGCTCTCCCCCCAAACCCCTCCAAATACCTATAAAAATGGCTCTAAACAAGTTATAAAGCAGCAGAACCCACAAAAAGACAGAAACAAATTTCCAACCAAAGACAGCCTGGGTGGTTGATCAGAAAGGTATATCGCGCCAGGCAGGGAGAGGAACGCAGTTTGACATGGGCGCACAGGCCGCAATGAACCAGGCGCAGGCCTCAGAGGACTGAATCACGGGCAGCTGTGGTGGTTTCCAGACTTCTCAACTCAGGAACACCAAAGACAACTCAGAACGTCAGAGGGAAAAGTCTGTGGTGAGAGAGGAGCTAGGTCTCAGCCACAAGTCTTGAGCGCGGCCCGAGGCCATGGCTGTTTCCTGAGCTTCCCGCCCATAGACTGAAGGGGAATCAAGTGGCTGATCAGAGGGGGGATTGCAGGGATCTCCTTGCCAGTACTGAGGCAGGAATCTCTTGTTTTACCAGTGCTTGGATCTGGGTGACAGTTCTGAGGGGCGGTCCTGGGGCGAGGAGGAATGCTGGTGTGGTGGAGCTTGTTGAGGCGGTGGAGAGGAAACACCTCGCCCCTTATCATAGCACTTTGGAAGAACTGAAAATTTTCAGACCCCTAGAAGTATCTGAAAACAGCTGTACAAACCCCTGAAGCTTGGGACAGTACATTCTCCACACTGGAAGCAGACTTTTACCTTAACAAAGAGTTTAAAATTCAAGTAACTGTCCGGGATCATGAGTAAGCAGCGCAAAAAGAGTCAGACTACATTATCTTACTTTGGTGACAAAGAAGATCAAAACATACAATCAGAAGAAGACAATGAAGCCAAAGCTCCTACATCCAAAGCCTCCAAGAAAAATATGAATCAGTCCCAGAAATAGAAAGAACTCAAAAGGAACTTTGAGAAGCAAGTAAGAAAAGTAGAGGAAAAACTGAGAGTGATGCAAGAAAATCATGAAGAACAAGTCAACAGCTTGCTAAACAAGACCCAAAAAAATACTGAAGAAAAAACACCTTAAAAAAATAGCCTAACCCAAATGGCAAAAGAGGTCCAAAAAGCCAATGAG